GAACTTTCAGTGGGGAACCTAGAATCCCCAGGGCCTACCCTCAGGAGAAGCACCACGCGAGGCAATGTGTCTACTCCAGCCCCTAAGGCCCCGAGACAAGCCGTTCTGACTGTTTCTGGTCCTCACAGCCGTGCACCTGAGTCCAGCTGTGAAGGGCGCGACCACTCCACCCCTATTGGCCAGGAACTCTGTCAACAGGCCCCCCTGCAGGTTCCTGATGATGGACTTTGTCACAGCGGTCCTGACCTCAAAGGCAGTGTGACCCCTGAAGTCAGGGTTCTCCGCTCTCGAGTCATAACATTTGGTGGTGATAGCAGTGCATTGGTGGTCAGCCCTGAAGTTCGCCCCGAAGCCGACAACATCCGCAGGAATTTACGGCCTCGGGCCACTCTGAGGGTTCCTGTTCTTTACAGAAATACCCGTGGGTCCAGTTCTGATAGCAGCAGCCGTCCAACACAGCGCAGAAGCAGCCGCACTGCATCCAGGCTTGGCTCTGACCACCAACGAAGCCATAAAATAAAGATGGAGCTGAACCTGGAGCCGGAACCGGAGCTGGAACCAGAACCAGAATCAGAATCAGAGCCAGAATCAGATTCAGAGCCAGAGTCAGAATCAGAGCTGGAGGAAGAGGCAGAGCCAGAACCTGGTCCAAGCAGCCGTGCACAAGCAAGGCTTTCCACCTTTAGGCCTGCAGTTCGAAGGAGATCCACACGCTCTCCTCCAAGACGCCCAGTCCGTATGCGGGCCTCTTCCCCTTCTCCTCCTGGTAGGCTCTGTCATTTCCCTGGGCAGTATAATGAAGGTGCCAGTTCTTCCTCCTCATTCACCAACGAGGATGTCTCCTGTGTTTCAGGTTCCCCTTCTTTCCCCAATAAGTCACCAGAACGGGGCTCCTCATCTCCATCAGGTGACTTAAGCTCTGTCTCTGGTCCTAGTCCTGATACCCTTTGGCGTGCCTTGATACCTGACCTGGATAACCTTGATTCTTCCCCTTCTGGAGAGTCAGAGGAAGAAATAGAGATTGCCCCTCACCCTCCTGCATAGGAAGAAGTGTAGGGGATACCCCTTACTCCTATACTCCTCCACCCTTGCTGTAATTTATGGTGAGAGTTCTCCCAGACTCACAAAAGGAATAGGCACTTATCCACTGTTGGCTGTGTGATTGATTATCTGTGAGGTTTCTAGGGGTTTCTACTTATTCACTAGTAGTCTGAGCAGTTTTGAAGTCCCCTGTTCCCCTTACCCCAACTATCTAGCACTTATAAGGACTTTGGTTCCATTCAGTACCCCCTTTTAAAACAGCCTGGGTTGTTTGTTATTAGGTTTGGGTGGGGGGTTTGTTTTATTTTTTGCCTCTGAGTTTTTATGTAATTAAGTATTTTAATAAAAGTGTTGTTTTATTTTAGAAAAAAAAGAAAATGTAGTACATTTACACAATGGAGTATTATTCAGTTGTTTAAAAAGTGAGCCCCTCCCAGGCAATAGCACTTGGGAGAGCAGGCCCCTCACCTCACCTGGGCAGCACAGTAGAACTAGCCATGGTAGTGTAGGCAGAGGACACCTGGCCTTGAGGGCATGAGAAGGGAGGAGTAGGCCCTGCCCCTCCTCTAGGCAAAGTTGAAGAGCTTGTCCTGGTGGTGTAGGTGCAGGAGAGCTGGTAGGCTGACCACAGCTACCATCCAGATCCAGGACTCTGAGTTGGCCCACCCTAACATCTACCCCATCTATGAACTGGAGCAAGTGGAGGAGCTGATCTTGCAGATCCAAAACTACAGGATCTCCAGGGCACAAGACAACAATGGTATATCTGAGAAAACCCTCAGTGAGAATCCAGTATTGATAGTGTAGCACAAGCCAGAGGCCTTGAACCAGACCAATGACTCAGCAATAAACATCCACAAGCAAAGGAGTGTGGACAAGAGGGTAAACACTATGACAACACTGTAACACACCAAAGCTTCCACAATGAGATTTTCATTTTGTTTTGTTTGGGGGGATTACAAGGGCAAAGGGTGGATATGAAGGGACAGGAAAAAGAATGGGATTGGGGTGCAAAGAATCAATAAAAACTTTAAGTAAAAATGACATAAAATCCACAGGCAAATGGATGAAACTAGAAAATAATCATCCTGGGCTGGAGAGATGTCTCTGTGGTTAAGAGCACTGACTGCTCTTCCAGGAGTCCTAAGTTTAATTCCCAGCAACCACATGGTGGCTCACAAACATCTGTAATGGGATCTGATGCCCTCTTCTGTGTGTCTGAAGACAGCGACAGTGTAGTCATATACACAAAATAAATAAATAAGTTTAAAAAAAACAAAAGAAAGAAAAAATCATCCTGAGTGAGGTATCCCAGACCCATAAAGACAAATATGGCATATATTAACTTATAAGTGGATATTATCAGTTATATACATGATAATCAATCTATAATCTACAGACCCAGGGAGGTTGGATAAAAAGGAGGGCTCTAGGAAAAGAAGCCTGGATCTCCCCTGGGAAGGGGAAATAGAATCTATTTTGTGGGAAGACTGGGGGCAGGTGTGGACAAGAGCAGGAGGAATTACATGGGCAGGATGGAGGGACAGGTGCAGTATGGGAGCCTAATGCAGTGGAAAGTCCCTGGAATCTATGTGGGTGACCCTAATCAGAACTCCTAATGATGAAGGATACAGAGACGGGGTTTGCCATCTTTTGTAGCCAGACAAGACTTCCACTGGTGAGACTGAGTTGTATTCAGTTGAGGTGTTGGCGAAGGGGTTGTGAAGAGATCCCCAAACAACCAAGGCCACTTTCTGCAAACTGAAAGGCCCTATCGAAAAGGACAACACCCACACAGCTCATTAAACATTAGATTGAGCTTGTGACTGCACGGAGCCTTCACCCGTGCATTCTAATCTCTTTCACAAGAGAAGATATTCTGCAAGCTATGGAAAGAGAAACCTGGACACCAACCCAGCTGCAAAACTCAACCTATAATCTGTCCTGCCTGCAAGATGTGCTGGAAAAATATTCTGGCACAGAACTTGGGGGAATGGCCAACCAATGTTTGATTTAACTTGAGGCTCATGCCATGAGAAGAGGCCTAGTGTCCTACACTGGCTGGCTGGCCAGGAACTGGAGACTGGATTGCCCAGAGATCTAGAAGAGAGACAAACATGACAGGCAAAAAATCATTCCTAATGATATTCTACTATACTCATAGATCAGTGCCTTGGCCACTCATCATCAGAGAGAGAGAGAGAGAGAGAGAGAGAGAGAGAGAGAGAGAGAGAAAACTCTAAATTGGAGGTCTCTATTGAGTCCCTCCTCTAGAAGCTTGGGGAATGTGACAGAAGAAGGGGAGGAAAGACCATAGGAATTAGGAGATAGAAGACACCAGAAGTATATGGACGAATCTACTAACTAGTGCTCATAGGAGTTCACAGAGAGTAAAATGGCAAGCATGGGGCCTGCATGTTTCTGCACTAGGTTATCTGCCTACGGCTGACAGCTTGGTGATAGATTTATTGGCTCATGATTAACATAGAGGGAGCACCATGATGGGGTAGGAGTAAGCTTGGGAATGATTATGAGTGAGACTAAGGCTGATTTTTTTTTGACATGTTGAGTTTGATGTAGCCATATGATGTTCATGTGGAGAGACTCTCAGAAGGCTCTTCCACAATTTTATTCTAGATCTTTGAAAAGAGAGCAAAGTTCAAAAATATTGAATCTAGAATCTAGAATCTTGAGAGTATTCCATATCCAGATGCTTGGGAAACAAACAAAAATCCCACAAGATTCATTGACATTTCCCAAGCAGAATATAAAGCCTTACAACAAAGAAATTGAAAGCAGTGTTACAATCAAACTGGTAATTATGAGTCAAAGTAATAGGAATAAAATCAGGGCAGAGTAGTACCACAGATGCCACAGAGGACAGTTTACAGAGTACAAGGTACCTACTGGTTGGTATCAGTGTTTAGAGAAATCAAGTCTGAAAAACAGCAATTAGCTTTGACTAGTAAGTTAGTAAGCTTGTGAGTTAATAAGTCACAGGGGTAAAAACATGGTCTTTTACATTGAATATCCTCTCTCTAAATCTAGTCCCTGGATCTTCTGAGCTTAAGTTTTCTTTCCATCTAATGAGTATAATGCTATCTGCTGCCTAGCGCTATCTTGAGAGTTGGAGAAAGGGGTGCATTTACAAACAACTGGTGTAGAGCTTGGTGCACTGAGGGTGAGTGGATCAGTCTTCCTTTGTGGTGAGTATTCATAGCCCTCTACCATAAAAGTAAATTCACTTTCTATGGTTATTAGGCCTACTGGATTAAATTGAGAAGGAACGTGTTTTAATTCAGGGATAGACTTTTGTTAAGACCAATTATTGGTAATTTCTTAGGCTACACAGAGCCAAAGGACAAATGGCAACCTTTTAGAAATTTAGAATCCATATGAAGCACAACAAGAAACAGTGCACTTTAATTTTGGGCAAATTATAGAACACATCATTCAGAAGCAGAGGACGTGAAAAATTGTGTGGGCAGTCACTGACCCTAAATTGTGTTTTCTTTCAATTAGGCAACACCTATACTTACATAAACATTAGAAACATTAATTTTCTGAGCTTTACAAAGCAATATATAATTTGAAATGATTCAGGTTAAACTAACCTAAACAATTACATTTTCACTAGGACATTGGTAACAAATTAATGTGACAGGAAAACAATTTAATGAGAGGCATTCACAGAAACACACACACATACATTTTCTTTTATAGAAATCTTTACCTAGATTTTAAAAACCTTTTTCTACAATCTTGTACAAATTGGAGCAGAATCCAACATTGCTGCCCTGGTGCTAGACAGAAATGCATTCTCCAGTTCCTAGCCTGGCAACTGCAACTTCATTAGGAAAACTATTGTAGTTTATGGATGGCTCACACAAAAGACCAGGAGTAGGACTTCAGCTGTAAACATGAGATTGGAGCCATAGAACTTAGGAAGTATGAGGTTCTAATCTCCCTAGAGACCATTTGGGATGCCATCAGTGGAAGGTGGGTCTTCAGGGTAGAGAGGAAAATATTAAATGTGTAGATAGGTATACAGAAAAAGCAGCCACCTCCATTTTCTAGAAGAGCATATAGGAAGGAAATGAATCTCAAAACAAAATGGATTCTAAAAATGTGCAGGTGAGCATTTCTCTGTCTGTTTTGTGACAAAAAGTTCCAGACTTTCTAAGCTTCTTTCTGCCTGACTTCCCTTTAAATCCCTTCTCATCTTGCCCTAGTTATCACAGTTTAAGGTGTGCCGTGAATATCACAAGTTATGTTCTATATTTGCTTGTCAAGACAATAGCCTTGACAGGTGTCAAGTATAATCCTATTCTGAAGCTACCAAAAATGGCTTAATGCCATGTAAAAAGCAGGCTAGTTTGGATTCTGGAAATTTCGTCCCTTCCCAGAGAAGATATTTGACCATCTTTGTTCTTTCCCATTTTCTTCAAAGACCTAATTCCATTTGCATATTTTGTTTTTCTTTAACTTGTTCTTTTCTTTGTCTTGCTCTTAACGTTCTCCTTGTCTTTTCCCTCACATTTATTTCCGTTGTTTCTTTCTCTTCTACTAGATCTTTATTTTTTTTAATGGTCTGTTTCTGGGGTTTCATTCTGAATGTTTTTCCCAAGTTTCTCATTCTGCTATGCCTTCTCTCTCTGCCTCTCTGTCTCGTTCTGTCTCTGTCTCTCTCTGTGTCTCTGTCTCTGTCTCTCTCTCCCCCCACCCCACAGTGTCCAGTTGAGGTTATAGACCAGTGGAATTCTAAACAGCTTTTTAAGAGCTGCTGTTCTTGTTTATAGTGGGCTGGTTTTGCTCCAGTCTGTTGAAAAATGATCGTGCTGAAAATTTAGCCCACACATTGGCCTTGTGGAAGAAGGGGTACAGTTGGGATTTATTAGTCTGTCAGTTAAAGGGCAACACAAATCCTCTCATTACATGACCAGAAGATAAATATGGAAGTGAAGAGCCACATCAGAAAATTATTATGTCTAGAGCATAATGAT